GTCGGTTCGCCGCCGTCGCTTGGGGGCGAGACCCCATCCACGATAGCGAACTGGAGGCGGGTCATATCTTCGTAGCACCTCTTGCAGCGAAAGTGACGGATCGATAAGCCTAGCTCCTGCACCTGTCCGTTCTGTATGAACTTGTTGTAAAACATGCGTACTACATCCAGAGCTTCTCCCCCGATCTTCAAGTGTGGCGAACCCAACTTGTCCTTCACGGAGGGGGGGCCCAACTGCCTCGGCACAAGGTTATCCAGCTGCCCTGGAAGACACGCTAATCGGTGATGTGGTCGGGGGAACCACGCTTACCCATACCACTGCAGCTAGGTCTCGAAGAAGTTGAGAGTGCATGCAGAAACCTTTTAGGACGAGGCTCGGCGCCGCTGCAATGTCCTTTCCGCGGAGCGCGCCTTCCACTTGGTTCAGTGTCCTCTGCGTCGTCCGCTGCCTCTGCAACTCTGCGGCCCTTGGGGCCGCGCGCTCCTTCTTCCCCGCCAGGTGCTTCCTTTCGTTTCCCGATCTCGACCAGGGCCTTGAAGTCCATCAGGTCGTCGTTCGAGCCCGCCGAACCGTTCGCCATGCCGTCTCCGATGTCTAACTTCAGGCTGAGGGAGTGGGCAATGAGTGCGGATGTGTACTTGTAGATCGTACAGACTTTGGGCCCAATGACTGCGTACTGGGCATCGTAGGTCACTGGGGACCTCAACATCTTGCGCCAAGAAAGAGCCCCCCCCCACGGCTGCATACATTGCGTATAAACGACCTCATGACGTGTCTCTCCGCGTTCTTTTTTGTGCTCAGAACCTGCAAGCTTCGAAAACATTGGTTGGTCACCGTCAGTAATGCTGCCTCATTGCGGACGCGGTGTGCCCGACCAGCATGGAGGAGGAACGCCTTCATGGTGCAGAATTGTTCGTTACACTTGGCGCCCGTGTTGAGCACCATGTTGCAAACGAACTGGCCCTCAGGGGCCGTCTCCTCATCCACCTCGAGGACCTCTGGAACCTCTGGATGGTGTTCGGGAGGGGCGAACGCCTTAGAGAACGCAGCAGCCCGCAGGACCGTGAAGTCCAAGAACGCCCAACCTCTAAACTCGTCGACGTAAAGCAATTTCAACATGGGGTACCCAATGGGGACTAGCTCGTGGAAGTCCTCGCAATGTTCATGAGCATACCTTAGGTCCTCCAGAAGCTGCCGAGCCCAGGGGTTAGCTTCGGGGTGAAATGTCAAATCGTCGTTGATCGTGTCGAAACTCCCCATGGCCCCCAGGATGCATGATCTGACCTGACGGTGTGCCTCTGGAAAGCGTGCCCAGCTCTGAAACCAACCGAGACGACGTATTCTGAGCTCCTCCGAGGTCGGCAGAATCTTCAAGTACTCCCAGACGTGTTTTTGATGGCCATCTTCGGATCCCCCCCTCATCGCCCTTGGTGGTCCCCTGGAGGCCCAGGCCCCTGCGCATGGCTAGCAATAGAACTCGGTCCGCCTGCTCACATAAGGAGGCGTCGGGAACACGTGCATCCATGCCAGAGAGGAGGGCCGACTGGACGAACGGAGGAGGAGGCTGGGTTGGTGGTGGTGGTGCTGGGTGTGTGGTTGTGTGTTGGTGAGGGGTCGCTCTTCTAGGGTGTGTGCGTGCCTGCATCACATTTTTGTGCCTTGCCGACGCCCGCCCGCGGCTTTCAAGGACTCCAATTTTCCCACGTTGCTTCGAAATGAAGCAAACCAAATTGAGCGTAGCCTGTCGTCGTCTTTAACCGCTGACTGGTCTCTTCAGCGTTTCGGAGAAAACGTGTGCGTGTGTGCGTGATGAATCTTTATTCGAAAGACATGGTGGATCCCCACTGCCTGGTGCTCATTTGTCAATTACAGTGCTCCTCCCGGGGCTCGCACCCTGTTCATTACAAGAAAAATCTTGAGCCTCACATTGGGCCCCTGCCCCCCGAACTACTACAACAACAACGGTTCCCGCCTGATGCACCCTCACTAGTTATTCAAAACCGCGCTCTCGCGCGGGACGTCTTCGCAATTTATCTAGGAATCGCGCTCGCTCGCGGTAGAATCCTCACGATGTATCTCGCTCTGGAGTTCCTTGTGATTTACTTGAGCTCGCGCTATCGCTCGAAACTTCCTTGCAAATCATGTTCATCATGTTGGGTTGACGCTTCATCGACCCGCCCGCTCGACCTGGCCGTCTGGGCCTGCCCGCCCGACGACCCGCCAATTAGTCCGTCCGCCCGACACGCCCGTCCTGTTCTGCCGCTTGTGCTGCTGCTCCTAGCCCCTCTCCTGCTACTTCTCTCGTGCTCCATCGTTCTCCCTCCCCCTTGTCTCTTCCCGTCTCCCTCGCTTCTCCTTGTTTTGGGGGCTGCGCCAACCACACGTGGCAGGTAAGGGAGATTTACCCCCAAGGGGAGGTATGATCGAAGGCTAAGAGCGCGGGTATTGAGGGTTTGGGGTATACATGTTGAGTGACGCGCGGGCACATGACAATGAACAGTCCTAAACTGAGTGCTGCTGGTTTTGTTGGTGGTGGTGGTTTTGGTGTGGTGGGGTGGGGGGCGAGGAGGACAGGGGTACGGGGGATAAGGATGATAAAGAGTTTGGGGGGGAGGCCGATGAGGAGGAGGTGGAGGATGAGGAGGATGAGGATGAGGAGGAGGAGGAATGGGAGGGAGAGGCGGACGATGAAGAGAGCGAAGGGGCGAAGAGGGAGGGAAGACTAAAAATGATCCATGCACCCTCACATAACCACATAGCCCATCAACCTTCCCTGACGTCCCCTGTCCTCCATTCCCGGTCTCCGTCCTGCCCCTCCTCCTTCTCCTCCTCCTTCTCCTCCTCCTCCTCCTCCTGCCTCATCCCTGTTTCCTCCTCCTCCTCCTCCTCTTCCTGCGCAGGGGGGGGGGGGGGGGGGCAGGAAGTCCACCACGCGCACCCCAGAGGCAACTGGGCCCCGGAAAGGGGTCAGCCAGCAACAACCTCTGGGTGCGAAGCCGCCACGCCTCGACTATTCCAGCCGCCTGTCCCCACGCCGCGTGTGGGCAACGGCGACCCACTTTTTACGTCGCAGCGCGGCAGAGGCAGTCCGCACGCGCGTCCAGGCAACCTGGGCTATGGAGCTGCGAATTGGTTCGCGTGCAAGAGGAGGGGAAAAGCCGAGGGGCGGCCGCAGAAACACGAGGAGGGAGAGGCGTGGCGGCAAATCCACATGACAACCCCCGTCAAAGACCGCTGGGCGGCACCGCGGGCGCACCCAGGCGAGGAGCCAGCGGCTGCAGTGCAGGGCGGTGCCCAGCAAGTGGGGAGCTCGGGAGTGGCGGGCCGCCAAGATGGCGGGCCGGGAGGCGCGGGGAAGGGGGCCAGGTGGTGGCTGCGCGTGACAGCTGCGGTGGGCTGGGCGTGTAGCCGTGCACCGGTGGGACGTGGCAAAAGCGAAACGCAACCGCGGCCCGGGGAGGGAGGGGCGGCGGGGCGGGACGGGGAGGCCAAACAAAGACGAGTGGCCAGGAGGAACCCAGGCGCCTGGCTGCCGCTGAACGGTGCGTGGAGGCCACGCCCAAGGGCGGCGGGAGGAAGGGCATAGAGCCAGCGAGCCGAACCCAGGGCCGGCGCACGGATCACAGCCAAGGGCGGGGCGGCGCCCAACGGAAACAGGAACTGGGCGAAGCGAAGGCTCCCGGCAGGCAGCTGGGAGGCAAAAAGGGAGGGCGACGCAGCGGCGGCGCCCCCCAAGCTGGGGCAGCGCGCGCTGCCGAGCAGGGGCAAGTGAAAGGCGACAGACGAACCACTCGCTCGCCTCTCCGTAAGCTGTTCACGAGGGGTCCCTGTGAAGGAGGGAGGGTGAGGAGAATGAGGAGGCGGCCTCCCTCTGGGAGGCGCCACCGGCAGGCGAGGGCGGCCAGCCCGAAGGGGAGGGGAGGGGAGGAGGGGCGGGAGGGGCACGAGGAGACGGGGGTCGGTGGTTGTCGCCGTCGGTGGCCGCGGTCGGAGTGGCAGTTGCCCTCGTCGCGATCGCCGTGGTGGATGGTGGCGCGGTCGTGGCGCTGAAAATGGTGCTGCTGTGGTGGTCTCGTGGCCACCTTGGTGCTCGCTGTGTCCTCTTGCGTCTTGACGATCCTGACTCGTGCCAGGACACTATTCCTGGCTCTTCAACACCGCGAATCAACGATAATGATGCGCCCTGACGTTCCGACATCGTGCCAACACGCTATTTCTGGGACGTTGACCCTGAGAATCCTGGAACTGCTGCAAACACTTAAGACGAATGTGCGCGGCGCTCGAGCGAGAACAATATTTTGAAAAGGAACCGCCCCCCCGCCCGTGAAACTCTTGCGAACTTGTAAGACGAGTGTGCCGGGCGCTAAAACGAAAACCGCATTTTGAAAAGGAACCGCACTCTATCCATTAAACTCTTGCCAACTTCAGAAACGAATGTGCGCGGCGCTAAAGCGAGAACCCCATTTTGAAAAGGAGCCGCCCTCCATCCGTGAAGTTCTTCCAAGCTTTGAAAACGAATGTGCGCGGCACAAAGCGAGAACCACTTGTTGAAAACGGGCCGCCCTCCATCCGCGAAGCTCTTGCAAATTCTGACAACGCATGCGCGCGGCGCTAAGGCGAAAACCACACAACGAAAACGGAAAGACCGCCCTCCGCCCGTGAAGCGGTGCCAGATTCCAAGCCTCAGGATCTTAAGTTGCGAAGGAGTCTCCAGCGACACGCCGAGGCCCGCCCCGTCGACTGGCCTCGGGGTGCGACAGGGAGGAGCTCCCCAGAAGGGGCAGGGAATGGAATTATCCAGGAGGACCGGCCTCGGGGTGCGAGAAGGAAGAGCTAGAGACATGAGGGGGAGGACCTTGCAGAAGTCTCTGGACGTGCCAGGAGGCCTGCAGAGGGCCCGTGGACGCCCAGCAGCAGCGAAGACTGACCGCAGACGCCGGTGCTCGAGGAGAGGGCGAGGTCGGCCTGGCCTCAGGCCCAGGCCTGGCCGCGAGGGCGTCCTTGAAGATCTCGTAGAACAAGCACTGGAAGGCGCCGAACGGCACGCCCTCCGGGCGCCGTCGGAAAAACGTGGAATCACACGGTCAACTCAACCATGGTAGTGATTCTGAAGGCAGAACGGATTTTGGCCCCTCTGTGCGAAGTGCACTGGTCGCTACTTTCCATATGGAAACAAGTCGGCAACACGTACACAACGCCGAGATGTGCTTGCCGTGCACCTCATGTGTGCTAAATTGCGGGGGTCTCTAACCAATCAGTCTGCAAAGTGCGAAAATCTAATTCGTTCAATCATGCGATGTGTGATTCATGTGACATGTTAAAAGAGAATTCCGTTGCAATGATATCGCGTGCGGAATTCCCCCAGCCCATTGGCCGACAGGTGGTCTAAGGGTGATCTCTTTTTTCTTCCACAACCCCTCCTCCTTCGGGGAGGGGAACCCTCCCCCTCCTTTCCCTGTTTTTTTTGGAGGGGGACCGATGTGTCAGAGGGTCCTTTTTCGGCCAGTGGGAGGGCCAATTTTTGACACCCCTCACACGGATCGTGGCCCCCCGAGGGGGGCAGACATCGAGCACCCCTCCTCTTTTGACCGACCACCTTTAAGCTGGCACCAAGAGGCCCTCTGGGGCTCCCAAGAGGCCCCCAAGAGAGCTCCAAGAGCGCCCCTAAGAGGCCTCCAAGAGGCACGGCCTCCCTCGCTGCTTTACTATGCGTGGCTTTTCCTCTCCCCCCGTCAACTCTCATGGGCATCGTTTCAGGATCGACTGGTGGGGATACGCGAATGTGTTGCTGATGTTTTGCGCTTGGTGTTCCTGTTCTTGTTCAACCACAACGATCTACATACATGGGTGCATTCAATGTTGAGTATCTCTGTACGTCTACGTCGACTCTGCTACACAATGCCTGCTGCGTACACTGGGAGAGGGCAATCACTGATCACCATGTCCACGAAAGCGTCAGGTAGGCTGTTGCGGGCCAGAGGAGTCGACAAACAGAGGAGGGCTTGAGAGGGCGTGCAAACCACAAAGCCACCCCGTCCACGGCATGCGAAGGCCGCCTCGGGCAACATCCGGGGAAAAAAGGTACACCTGGACGACTACTTTGCTACTACATCGTGTGGCTCATATTTCAGGGGTACGAACATGATTACGATTGCACCTGCTGCAGGGGCGCATGGACCATCGCTAACGCCATGTGCCCCCAAACACAAGAAAAACTGTGGCTCATTTTCAAACAGGCTGACTGTCATCGCAGACCGGCACGGCAACCACCTCGCAACCAGAAGCGACGAGCACTTCTGATATGCATGATTGGCATCTGATGGTATTTCCGAACAACTTCACAAGTGGTCGGAGATCTTTCCAACCGAACTCCACGGGGTATGGAAGGTAGGTCGTTGACTCCCGGCTATGGAAGCACATTCCCATACGTAAAAGCGATCCACGCAATGGATTTAGTATCCATGGGCTTTACAGACTACTTGCCGCCCCCCACTTGGGCTGGCAACTGGTCAGGGGAGGTAGGTCAGAGTGAGGGGGCCGAACGGTCATTCATTGTCCCTGGTTGCGTGACTGAGTAGGGAATTTGTGGTGAGAATTCTGCTTGTTGCGTTGCTGTTGTGGTTGTGGTTGTGGTTGTAGTTGTGGTTGTTGGTGTTGTTGGTGTTGTTGTTGTTGTTGTTGTTGCTCATGTTAAAATTGTTGTTTGTTGTCGTCGTCCCACCCGCGACCCACCCCACGACCCACCCCGCGACACACCCCGCGACCCGACCCGCGACCCACCCCACGACCCACCCGCGACCCACCCGCGACCCACCCGCGACCCACCCCGCGACCCACCCGCGACCCACCCCGCGACCCACCCGCGACCCATCCGCGACCCACCCCCCGACCCACCCGCGACCTACCCCGCGACCCACCCTCAAGGGAGGAGAAACCACTTGGACCCGACAATTGACGTTTACTAAACGGACCTGGGCGTTTACTAAACAACCCTGCCCTATTCGATTCATTCAGTGCGTGCGTTTACTCAACGGCTTCGCTTGTCGGGGTGATTATTATGGGGTGGATTTTCTGCCCTCTACGCCCGCGACGGACCCGCGAACCAACACCGACCCACCCGCGACCCATTTGCGACCCACCCGCTACCTACCCACATTGGTTGAACGAACAAATCGGCGCCTGCGGGGGGCTCGTTGTATAATTTGTGAAACTTTGGCGCCTGCGGCGGGCTTCTCCAGAGTCTCGCAAACTGCCGACGAGCCCACCGCCCCCTCACTCTTATCCGCATCTACGGGGTGCTACGTGTGCCAATCTGCGGTCCATGCAAATGGACTTACCAGCCATCCATGGGTTTGACAGTTGCCGCCCCCCAGAGGGATTCGCAAGGCTTGAGAAGATGGGAGAACGGGAAAGCTTCTGGGAGGACCTGCCCCACGTTGACCTCACTTCTATCTCCGCTCAATCCTTTGCCGTCCGCCTACATCTTCCCAACTTGCTTCAGCCTGGGCCCCTGAAGCCTTATGATGACCGACCATGTTGAGGTGTGAAGACGGCCGTATTGGGCTGCCTTGGCCGCCTCGGAGGCCAACCTGGGCCGCATGGGCGGGATCTCTGGGACATCATGGAGGTTTCGGGGGGTGTTGGAGCCAAGGGGCCAGGAAGACCACGGGAGTGAGGAGGGCGAGGGGCCAGGCGGTCATCCCCAAAGCAACTCAGCAATTTTTGGGCCGCTGGGGAGTGGGCAAAGGTGGGGGGATTGTCGCACCCTTGAGGACCCCAAAGGGGTCGCAACAATGCCCAGACCTCCGCTTCCACCGAAGCACGACTACTCCGATCCCCACCATACTGGCGCCGCCCCTCCGCTGCGAAACTCCCGGTCGCGCCCCTGCTTTCAAGAGGTGGGCAGCAGGACGAGGACGGGGCAGTCGGGTGAATGTGGGTCGAAGGTGAGCCTGTGATGTAGAGAAGGAGGGAGCGAAGGAAAAAAGGGGTACAGGAATGGCGACACGGGAGAGATGGATTGAACGTCCTCCAGCCACTCTCTCCAAAGGGAGCAGATGAAGGAGTCCAGGGACGAGGGTTTTGGTAGGGAGGGAGGGATTTGGAGGGAATGAATGGAGGGAGAACGATGGCTGGGAGGGGACCGGGAGGGGGAATGAGTAATAGGAGGATATAGGAGGAACAGGGGGAGAGGGGGTGGAGGAAAAGGGAATAGGGCGGAAAAAGGGCAATGGCCCCGTCACTCCTCCTGCTGCCTCCTCCTCCTCCTCCTCCTCCTCCTCCTCCTCCTCCTCCTCCTCCTCCTCCTCCTCCTCCTCCTCCCCCCCGAGGATAGAGGAGGGGAGAGCGGAGTCGGGGTCCCGCACGACGCAGAGCGCCAGCGTGGTCTGGAGGGTCTTGACAATCTGGCGCAGAGCGGCGTCGGCGGTGGTGGCCGGGAGACGGCGGGGCGGGAGATTAGGCGGAAGCTAGGACGAGGGAAGGAGGCAGGAGGGAGGAGGCAGGGAGGTGGAGGGGAGGCAGGAGGGAGGAAAGGCAGGATAAAGGGGGGGGATGGGGGAGGAGATGCATTCCTCTTTCTCCTTCTCCCCTGCTCTTCTCCACCTTCCTCCTCCGCCGCCCCGTACTCCCCCCCTGCCTCCTCCACTACACTTTCTCCTCCAACTTCCTCTGTCCTCCTCCTGCTCCTCGAGCCTCCTGCTCCTCATCCTGCAGCCCCCTCGTCCGTGTGCTGCTGCTGCTGCTGTTCCTCCTCCTCCTCCTCCTCCTCCTCCTCCTCCTCCTCCTCCTCCTCCCCCTCCTCCTTCTCCTCCTCCCCCTCTTCCTTCTCCTTCTCCTTCTCCTTCTCCTCCTCCTCCTCCTCCTCCTCCTCCTCCTTCCTCCACCTCCTCCTCCTCCTCCTCCCTCACTCATTTCCTCTTCCTCTTCCTCTTCCTCCTCCCTCCTCCTCCCTCTCCTCCTACTCCCAAGAACACCCGTCCACGGGGCGGTACTGCGCGCCGCCCAGGCATTCATGGCCCCTGCTAGTGGTGGCCCTGCCATCTGCCAAAACCACCGTGATTCGAGGAGCCCCTCCTCGTTGCTCCTCTCGTTCATCCCTCCTTCCTTCCCTCCCCTCCCTCCCTCCCTCCCTCCCTCCATCTCTTCTCCTCCACCCTCCACCCTTCACCTCCTCCTTCTTCTCCTTCCTTCTCCCTCTCCTCCTCCCGCTCGCGCTCGTTCGTCTGCTTCTGCCGCTCGTCCCCTCCACGACCAATCACTTCCGTGCCGCGAATGCGTTCCTGCACCTCCGACGCCGCTACTCGGTCTTTTTCCTCCAAGACGAATCCAACACGAGGATATAATCGGGTGAGGATACATCTGGAATCTCTGAGATCTGGCGGTTCTGGAGGATGTCTCGTGCGCCGCGGACTCTTGCAGAGCGTTCCAGAACGCTCTGAGAGCGTTCCGAAACGCTCTGGGACGGAGTTATCCTCGTCCTGGCTCCGTCCGAACCTCTCTCCCGCTCAAGTCTCTTTATTCTCGTTTCTGCTCTCGGGAGGACGGATGGAGGGAAAGGGGATACAGGCACACACACATACACATATACATATATATATATATATATATATATATATATATATATATATATATATATAGCTCGCCTACCGTTCTCTCCCGCCAGGCTCATTTTTGTGTGAGGGGCTGACCAGGCAAGTGACTTCGAGACATCGATGCCGAGGAACGCCGAGCCGAGAGCACACACCCTGCTTAAAGAAATTGCGTTTACAGCTTGCTGAGCAATATAACAGAAGAGGGAACGGAGAGAGAAGCACAGCACAGACACACACCCACAGAGGCACGCGAGAGAGGGGGGGAGGGAGGGAAGACTTGAGCGTGGCAGTTGCGGCGGGATCCAGGATGGGCTATGCCTAAACATGTAAAATGTGACAGCTCGCCTACCGTTCTCTCCCGCCAGGCTCATTTTTGTGTGAGGGGCTGACCAGGCAAGTGACTTCGAGACATCGATGCCGAGGAACGCCGAGCCGAGAGCACACACCCATACCCGTATGGTGAACTGGCCGACTGGTCGATAGTCAGAAGGAGGCCGAATAACTTCCTTATGAACCCAATGCCATATCAACTGCATACTTTGAAAACCTCCGAGCACGTTTATCTTCGAACGATCGCTGCATCACACGACTAAACTTCTGGGCGAACGCTTTGGGGTATTCAGCCGCCAGACGAGTGAAGTGAGGACCGTGAGGGGCGTGCCCGGACAGAATCACATGTGGTTTTTGAGACATCGAGCAAATACCAGATCGACCAGAGCAACGGATACTGAGGTTCAGCAACGGCAGCGAGTTCCATGCGGCGACGCTGGTCGCCTTCCGCCACGGCGCCCCGTACTGGCACATGTGAAGCTGGATCTTCTGGGCGCAAGGCGCCCGCAAAAGCCGGGCCAGTTCAGGAGCGTGCCACATCAAGGAGCCCGCGGGATTCTCAAGGTACACAGCTACTTTCCACTTCATAGCGAGGCGGATGACCTTGCAAGTGAATTTGAAGGTCGAGTTGCCCACCTCCAGCCTCGCCAGCTCGCTCGCGGAAAGCCCAGGCAGCCCCATGGGATGCCGCCGCGAGCGCAGAGGCCGGCGCAAAGCCTGACTCCACGTCGTGCAAGGCGTCCCGAGCCAAATGCCGGCTATGCAGCCGGATGTGACCCATCCATGAAGCACCTCAAAAAACTCATGCACCAAATGATTTTCGTGAGCACCGCGGCCGATGTCGAACCCGATTGCCGAGAAGCCGTCAGATTTCAGCGATGCCGTGATGCAGCCCTTGCCGCAGAACAGCTCGACGAAGACGAACCGCCTGTGCAGCCGCCCCGCGCCTACAGCCTTGCGGAAAGCCGCCAGCATGTGGGCCCGCACGGCCCCCGGGGCCGCTATCAGCGGCGGCGCCGCTTGCGGCCGCGGCTGGCCGCCGCCGCCAGGCTGGGTCGGGCGCCGACCAGGCTGGCCAGGGCGGCGGGCAGCTGGGAGCGCAGCGGATGCGGGCCGCTGGCCAGGGCGCCCTCGATCACCGCCCTGAAGTTCGCCTCGACCAACTTGCCGAACGACAGCGTGGCGGCTGGAACCCAGTGCAGCTCGGCGAGCAGCTTCGACTCCTTCGCGTACCGCTTCATGCTGCTGCTGTGGCCCCATCTGCCCCTGCGCTGCACCTGCTCCGGCGTGCGGAGCCCGCGGATGATGTCCTCCGAGGCCCCCCCGTGGCGGAGCGAGTACAGGTGCGGGCGGAGGCGGCTCAGCGACAGGTGCTTGGCCGCCTCGCCGAACGCCCTCTTGTACTCGCCGAGGTCGAAATCCCAGAGAGAGGCTTCGGCTGGCGTGGCCAGCTTCAAGGCCTCGAGGATCCGAAAGAGCCAGCTCGCGTTGTCGATGATCACCGACTCCTCGAATAGGCCGACCTTGCTCGGGACACGATCGACCACGTCGTGCAGCAGGAGCGCCCACTTGTCGTACACCTGCCCCGCGGCCGCGGCTGGCTGGACCAGGCTGCGGCCCCGGAGGCGGAGCGCCTCGCCAGGCCGCAGGTAGCACAGGAAGCTCAGGATCACGCAGATGGCCATCCGCGCCTGGCCCCAGCTGGCCAGCATGCCCGCGATCGCAAAGCAAGCACACCTCGGCAGCGGCAGCCGCGTGTGTGCCGGAGCCCGGCGGGCCCACGCGATGGCACACCGCTTGGCCCGCGGCAGCACCCGAGGCACCGCCTTGTACAAGACCGGCATCACATGGCTGAGCGCCGCCAGGAGCTGGGACCCCGTGTTGCCGTTCTCGCCCAGGAGGTACATCTGGTCGAAGTACTCCACCAGCAGCGCGTCCAGCTCCGATGTCGAGCTCCAGTCCCGGCGGCGCGCCGAGCAGAAGGCCGCAAAGGCCACGAGAGCCATCTGGTAGTTCTTGGCCGTCGAGGGCAGGATCGCGGCATTCTCCAGGGTCGACAGCCCGGTGAACCGCAGCGCGGCCCGAGCCACCTGTGCCGCCGCCTGGGCCCGCTCGCGCTTCAGAGCGGAGGCCGCCGGCGCCCGGGACGTCCGCGCCCCCTGCGCGCAGGGCGGCAGCAGGAGCCCGCAGCCCGCGACCAGCGTCAGCAGCAGCAACCGCGAGGCCGTCATGCGGCCCGGACGGGCCATATGAGCGCGCGCCTGAGAACCAGCCGACCTCGCCTCTGGAGACCGGGTCGGCCGGGTTGAGCTCCGACGGAACCCACCGGACGGCGAGTCTCGAGCCCGTTGCCAGCGATAGAGCACATATACGATACAGACACTGTCGTAGGTGAACTGACTTGGCCCGTCCTTTGCCCGCTGCCAATACCAGGGGAAGGTTGTCCGAGAGGATCAGGATACGACGACCGTGGGCCTTGCAGCTCCTCAGGACGTTCTTGAAGCCCATGACCAGGGCCTCTCCCTCAAGAAACAGGATGTTGGGCCCCATCTCGACATGTGTGGCCGATACACAGCTCCAGCACCCCGGACGCAGAAGCTGCCTAGGCACCTCCAAGAACTCCCCTGTGCTCGGATCAGGCTCCTCCTCGTTCAAGGCCCACAAAGGCCCCTCCTCCCGCTCCAAGATCATCTTGGTCTCCTCGTCCATCCCCACCTCCTCCAAGGCCCTGCGACGGGCCTGAGCACCACCCTCGATCTTGAAACGGAACCTCTCCTTCTGCCGACCTAGCTCCTGGACCTGGACCGGGCTCATCTTGCGGCGGACGACCCCAAGACCGAACGGCGACGCGTCTGTACACGCAACGTAGGAATGCCAATCAGCCTGCAGGTCCACGCATAACAATGGCAACAAGTTGCGGACGCTCTCGAGCTCCTGCCTCACGGAGGACCACAAACCACAGGGTGTGGGGCCAGCGGACTGGATATACGCGTACGTGGCATGCAGCAAGGACAGACACTCGCGGCGCACCAGACTCGTCCAAGTGATGTGACCGGCGATAACACGCAAGAGATGTCCGCTCACCCTCGGCCTGGCCAGCAAGTCATCCAAGGCATACCGAAGCCTCCAAATGTTGCGACTCTTCACCGAAAGATAACGACCACCTCGAAGCGACATCCCCAAGAATTCACGATCCTTGCTGGCACCCTCAAGCTCGTGGACGACGAGGCCCAGGCCCCTCAACTGCTTGACGACAATATTGAGACGACTGGCCACGGTCCCCGGGTCATGCCCCAAGGTGAGGAAGTTGTCCACATATGCGGCCGACGCGGTGTCCCCAGGATATCTAAGAACCACTCCCGGCCTGCCGTCCAACACCTGCTCGTCCCTTTTGAAGCCCCCTTTGTCCAAAGCCCCTTCCAAGACGTTCTGACATAGATGGAGAGCCCATGAGAAGCCCATAGGAAGCACCCGTACGCAAG